ATATGCATTAATAAAAATAATTCGGAGGGAAATAAATTATAACAGACCATGACAGGATTAGCAGGCCAGAGTTTTGGTTTATAACATTTCAAACTCCATATAGGCTGTTTTATGCTCATCGCCCACTGGATGGGGGATAATCCACAGATAAATTCACATATCAAGGGCACAATTATAGACTAACTTTTCACTGGCATATTATTTTATAAATGCTGGATTTTATTTTGTATGGCCACCTGGAAATTGGGGAAATTGGGAAGGAGGAGATCTTAGTACAGTTAATGGAGAATGAAAGACAATTAACTATTAAGCCAGGTGATGAGATTATAAAACAAAACATAAAGTTATTACAAGCCCAATTTTCCATGATAATAAACCAGGAGATTGAGGGGAAAGTTAAAATGTTGAAACAGAAGAGTTTTGAATCTGCTAATAAAATAGGAAAATATCTGGCCTGGCAACTAAGAGAAAGGAAAAAACAAAATACGATCTGTAGGATAAGGGATGGAGATAAGATAGTGGAAGACCCAAATGAAATAAAAAGGTTGTTTCAGAAATACTATAAGGATTTATATAAAAGAGGTAAGGAGACAGGCTATGATATAGAACGCTATCTGAAAGAACATCATTTACAACAGATATCAACCGAAGAAAAAGAATTATTAAATCAGCTGATTACAGAGGAGGAGGTAAGGAAGGCAATATCAAAGATGAAAATTGGTAAAGCGCCGGGGCCAGATGGTCTGTCAGCCAAATATTATAAAGTGTTAAGTGATCAAATAAGTCCAACCCTATGTGAAGTGATGAACAATACTTTAAAAGAAGGGAAGACCCCGAACACCTGGAAGGAAGCCTATATTACATTAATTCCTAAAAAAGATGTGGATGCTTTAGAGGTGAAAAACTATAGGCCAATTTCATTATTAAATAACGACTATAAGCTGTTTGCGGATGTTATGGCAGAAAGATTAAAAAAAGTATTAAATAACAGAATCCATAAAGATCAAACGGGCTTCCTTCCAGGGAGACAATTGAAGGACAACGTAAGAAATGTGATAGATATTATTGAATATTTGGAAACCAGAATAGACAAACAAGCTGCTTTGATTTTCATTGATGCTGGAAAGGCCTTCGATAACGTTTCTTGGTGCTTCCTGATAGAAAATCTAAAAACGATGGGGCTGGGTGAAAGATTTAGAAAAGGTATTGAAGCTATCTATAATGAACAAAAAGCTAAGCTAATAATAAATAACTCGACATCAGAATTTTTTGACATATCTAAAGGGACTAGACAAGGCTGCCCCCTGTCTCCTCTATTATTTATAATAGTACTTGAAGTATTTACTAAGAGACTGAGAGAGGCAGTGGAAGTGAAAGGGATTAAGGTAGGGACTAAAGAATATAAGATAAAAGCTTTCGCGGATGATTGTGCTGGTCCCGGGGGGAAGGTCACTGTTACCGTAGTCCAAGTTCAGTCCTAAGTCACTAGCCTGGAGATAGTCCACAAAGTGCGAGGTGAGGTCCGAAACAGGGAGCCGGGCGGGGACAGGAACACTCGAAGATCAGAAGCAGGAAGCCGGGCGGGGAACAGGAACACTGGAGGAACAGGACTGGATGCTGGCCGAAACAGCTCTTCAATGACGACGTTGCTCCCACAACCTGGGACCGGGCTGACTGGCCTTCATCTTCTCTAAGGCCAGGGGCGGTCCCGGCCCCCAGGAGCCCCGCCTCTCCTGGCCTTAAGGCGAGCACTCCTCCTGGGAGAAACCAGTTCCCTTTGCCTCTCTGCCCTAAGCCTCTGCAGTTCAGGAGAGGCTGAAGGGTTACTGGGCCCCGGGGGAGACTCACCTGTAGACACTGAGTCCTCAACCACCTCTGGGGCCAGAATGGTTTCACCTGGTGCCTGCTCCTGAGGATCTGGCACAGGTGCAGGCTCCTCAGAATCCAGGCCTTGCCCCAGTTCAGCCGGCCCTGGAGGCGGGGACTCCTGTGCCGGCTGGGATTCCTCCTGTTCACTCTCAGAATCGGAATCCCAGGCCATCACAATGATATTGTATTAACTCTAGAAGACCCGAAAAATAGTATGAAAGAAGCCTTGCAAAAATTTGAAGAGTTTGGAGCGGTGTCAGGCCTCAAGATTAATAAAAATAAGACTAAAATGTTGAATAAAAATCTAACTAAGGAAGATATTGTAGAACTAGAACAAAAGACGGGAATTATGACAGCAAAGAAAGTGAAATACCTTGGAGTGTGGATATCAGCGAAAAATATTAATCTATATAAGGATAATTATGAAGTCACTTGGAAGAATATTAAGAAAGATCTTGAAATCTGGGAGAGATTGAGGCTATCTTTTCTGGGGAGGATAGTGGTTATCAAAATGAACGTTCTCCCCAGAATGTTATTTTTGTTCCAAACCATTCCGGTACTAAAAGGGTTAAAGCAGTGTAAAGAGTGGCAAAGAGCCTTAGCGAGATACATCTGGCAAGGCAAAAGACCACGAATAAAAATGAAAATATTGATGGACAAAAAAGAAAGAGGGGGATTCTCTCTACCGGATCTAAGTTTATATTATGAAGCGGCGTGTTTACTGTGGCTGAAGGATTGGATAAGATTGGAAAATAGGGACATCTTGGACTTGGAAGGTTTCGATAACAGGTACGGGTGGCACTCGTACCTGTGGTTCATAGAGGCTTTCTAAATCATATTTTTAGGGGACCACTATTTCAAGTATGGGAAAGAAATAAAAATATATTGGAAAGGAAGACACCTTGGTGGATTTCACCAATAGAGGTGTTAACTATATAAAAAATAAACATGGAAGGGAAGAATGCCACTTATGAAGAACTAACTTGGAAGACAGATCAAGGGATTAAACTTAGACCATATGAAGAGATCAAAAATTTATTTACTGGGTGGTTGCAATATCACCAAGTAAATGACCTGCTAAAAGAAGACAAAAAGAAAGTAGGATTTGAAGATAAAAAATCTAAATTTAATGTAGAAGTTATAGAAAGTAAGAACAAAACACTGTCAAGGATGTACGATGTTTTGCTGGAGTGGTACGCAAAAGATGAGGAGGTGAAGGAGGCCATGACTAAGTGGGCGATAGACATTGGATATAACATCGACTTTGAGAGGTGGTTGGAACTATGGAACAAGAATATGAGATTTACGGCATGCACGGCACTAAAGGAAAACCTGTGGGAAATGATCTACAGGTGGTACCATACACCAGTGAAATTAGCGAAGATTTATAAGTTGAAGGATAAAAGATGCTGGAAATGTAGAGAGGTAGAAGGTGATCTCTACCATATGTGGTGGTCGTGTTGCAAAGTAAGAGGCTTTTGGGAATTGGTTTATAATGAACTTTTAAAAATCTTGAAATATACATTTCCCAAAAAGCCAGAAGCCTTTTTGTTAGGAATGGTTGGTAAAGAAATTAAAAAAGAAGATAAGATCTTGTTTCTATATGCCACGACAGCTGCAAGAATTATGTTAGCACAAAATTGGAAATTAGAAGTAATACCCAACATAAGTGATTGGCAGGTTAAAATGATAAATTATGCTGAGCTTGATAGAATATCAGGAAGATTAAGGGACCAAGACGAACAGAAATTTCATGATAATTGGAAGAAATATTTAATCTATATGGAATCTAAATCTCAGGTGACACTGGCGGGGTTGAAATAACTCTAACAGCGGGAAAGGTTTATGTAAAAGAGTTAAAAAGTACGCGGCTATATAATTTATTTGATACTTACCAAAGGAGTGGAGGGAAGTCCAAGGTTCAGTTGAGACTAACTCAGTTATGTATTTTATTTATGATTTGTGAAGTGGATATAATTTGTATAAGGTATGTGGTGGATTTTTTGTTTATGTTTTTCCTGTATATATGTGCAAATATGAATAAAAATTTATGAAACAAAAAAAAAAGGAAATTGGGGCATGCTCTATGCATTGCAATCTAACCTCCCAAAGGATAGTAGTGAATGTAGAGTACAAGGAGATTATTCGTTTTAATGCTGGTTTCACCATACTAGATGGAAGAAACTCACATTGATGTATCAGTCTGCTTGAAGACTGGCCACAATTTAAGTGATTCTAAACCACTTAAGATCAGAAGTTATGGGAACTGCTGCAAAGACTGAGTCACCCAACCTCAATTTCTGGTTTTATTCAAAATTATAGCCTCTGTAATATTATTATACCAGTTGACTTTCCAAACATAATTAACTGGCAGCCCACACAGCCTGTATTGCAACAGATCAGTCCTGATGTAACCAAGTCATGTTTCACCAGGACTATATTTGTAAATGAAATATACATGATTTTGCCTGTGACTGATTCCGCTCTCTCCTTGGCCAGAGGTAGGCTGCATCTACCAGGCCATGCCACGTCCTCTTCAAAGGAGAAAACAACACTTGTAGGGTTGTGGTTTTTTGTTAATGGGCATATAAACTGTTTTGTCGTGTTATTGTGACACCTCAAAAGTTACCAATCCCCTGGGGATGCGATTATCTCACAAATCACTGACAAAATTACTGCTTTCCTTCCTGAATCTCAGTAGATTTCCAGAGTCCACTAACAAGATCAACAATAACAGCATGTGGAAATATTATAAACTCTGCATGTTGTTCATAAATGAGGCTGGGGTTACAAAGTGCTCAGTCTTTTGCCCGATCATTTCTCCCTTATATGTTAGGGTGTGCTTTGGCCAGTTGATTCTGCTATGATCTAAAACAAAAAGACTGCACAGTGAGTAATTATGTGCCCCATTCCTTCTTTTTTTGCAGCTAACCATCCAGTTTGGAGATAACACATCTCAAATCCAGCCACGTACACCTTAGTGCCCCCCATGTTATTTTGGACTAGTCTTTTGTAATACTTTTCATACTGGTCATTCTTCTGCAACTTCCATATTTTGCAAGGCGGGGATTGGAACATTTTTGCCCATTTGAAGGGGGCCTAAGTGTGGAGACCAGGCTTTCAATCTGTACATGCTGAGTCCTCCGCCATTCATGAAAGCCTGCAACGAAACTCATGCTTCCAGAGAATGCATCAAGGGGAGAATGCAAACTGTGGTCGTCTCCGTCCTGAGGACACATTTGCTCTCCAGGATCACAGCAGCAATAGTGCTGCTTCTTGTAATGCTCCCTTATAGTGTGGGCAAGGTGCATTCTATTAATTGCAGCATATATGACGATCCTCTGCCTATACCTCACAAATATTATCAGCCGGGTGATTTTGTCATCGGAGAGATTGTTTCTCAGGTCTTCCTCTTTCAAGACAGTCCCTCGTTCACAGAAGTGCCCACGCAGATGTCCATTGGTGAACCTGTGTAAGGAACCCTTTATTCCTCCCATGTCTTCTATTACCTTAGATTATAATGTGGTTTGATGCTTCATTAGTAAGATTCACTTTTCAGTGTGAGGAAAGCTCTATTCCAGCAATAACTGGAGCCAAACAATTATTTTGCCTGCCTCTTATTTACGTTATGAGAATATTTCATACCCAAGGCTGATGGACATGAATGGAACTTATGGGACGTCTCTAGAACAAGACAACAGTGAATCGTGACCTTAGTGAGTCTTTGAGGCACCAGCCAACCATTAGTTGACTCTTGCCTTTAGCTTCAGCTATCTCTTCCATTCACATCAGTCCATATGGGTGTTTTTAAAAAAAGAAATGATTCATTTCATAAGATTATATTGTACAATACTGTAATTTATGAGAATCATAGAATCTGAGAGCTGGAAGGGACCCAATGGTCATCTGGTCCTACCCCCAAGCAATGCAGGAATCTCAGCTAATCTCAGCTATTATTCAGGAAGCTTTCACCCCAGCAATGTTCCCTGACTAAGTGTAGGTCCAGTCACACAGAATGGAGGCAGAAACGCTGGCCTGATATGGAAAGCAAATTCTACGTTGCAGAGCATATTCTCTACCATGGAGCTACAACCATTTTCAGACACTTATTTCCATATTTCGTTAACCCTATCTAACCCTTATCTTCATGTCTTCGTAATGTTTTAAACTTCAGCTCAATCATGAAAGCAGTGGGTAGTGTGAGGCTGAAATCAAGATATGCCTTTGTCTTTCAGACAACATCCCACAGTATGCTGGGCTAGATCCTGGCACCATGATGCACGCTAGCCACCCCTGATCTAGATCTATTAGGTTTTTTACTCAGTCTTTTCATACAGCGGAATAAATGTTTTAAGAAATCTATTCTAAATATTTCATCTAAAAGGACCTGCTAATGGATTATATCTTCCAATAACTGTATTCTATATCCCAGCATTTTCAGACTTTTTAAAGTTCCAGCTCAACCACGAGAGTAGCCAGAGGTGTAACAATGAAAGCAAGAAATGCCCTTTCCTTTGCCTCATGAAACAGACTGTAAATCTCATTCCAGGTCCGTTCCTAAGAACTACCAGCACATCCTGGCTTTGCTGCTTGCTGTCAAAGAGATCAATGAGAACCCCCAAATCCTACCCAACATCTCTTTGGGCTTCCACATCCTCAATGGCTACTATGTGGCAAGGACGACATACAAAGCCAGCCTGAGCCTCCTTTCCACACAACACAGGTTTGTTCCCAACTACAAGTGTGATACTCAGAGTAAACTGATAGCTGTCATTGGCGGACTTGCTACTGAAACCTCTGCCAACATGGCTAGCATTTTTGCCACCTACAAGATTCCACAGGTGAGACATATTCATTGATTTATGGGCATTTTACAACAATGGCTCATATCTTTACATTCTTTTAATCCATACAACACACCCTCCTTCCTTTCAGCTCACATATGGATCATTTACCCCAGTGCAGGATGACAAAACATTGTTTTCTTCCTTATATCAGATGGTCCCAAAGGAAGCCCACCAGTACATTGGGGTAGTCAGGCTCCTTCACCATTTCAGATGGACATGGATTGGGCTCTTTGCTGTGGATGATGACAATGGGGACAGGTTTTTGCACACAGTGCTTCCATTGCTTGATCAGAATGGCATCTGCTATGCCTTCATACTAAGAACAGCAAAGAGGACATTTATGGAAGAGTTGATGAACATTATATTTGCACAACTGGAAAAATACTCAATTCTTCAAGATAGAAAAGTCAGTGCATGTTTTGTATATGGAGAACCTCCATCCATGGGTGTTTTGAGAATGTATTTCTTTTTTGCAGTAATAAAATCATTGCCACCAGTGGGTAAAGTCTGGATTGTTACTTCCCAATGGGATTTCTGTGCCTTCTCCCTTCAAAAGCTTTGGGAAATGGAAACCTTCCATGGTGCCCTATCCATCACGGTTCGCTCAAGGGAGCCACTTGGATTGCAAACTCTTCTTGAGATCATTGGACCTTCTTGGGCAAAAGGAGATGGTTTCATTCAGAATTTCTGGGAGCAGTCATTCAGCTGCTCATTAAAAAAATCTGATGGGAATGTGGAGGGAAAGCAAGCCTGCACTGGCCGGGAGAAGTTGGAGAGTCTTCCCAGTACTCTTTTTGAAATGGGCATGACTGGCCACAGCTACAATGTCTACAATGCTGCTTATGCTGTGGCACATGCTTTGCATGTCCTACATGAATCCAGTCCCAAGCCTAGTCATTTAGTGGAAGGAGGGAGGTTGACATTTCAAAGTCTGCAGCCCTGGCAGGTAATTGCACATTGAAAGCAAAAGTCTATTTTGCAAAACTTTCAAGCATGCCATAAAATATATTTGAGTATATCCTTAAACTTTCCTGATCTTGCCTAATCATAGGAAACCTTTAACTTGAATCTGAGTTTTCTTATTTCCTCCTTCTTCCAAATCTACTTTCCTTTTACATCATATCTCTTTTACACTGTAAGCCTAAAGACCACAGCTGTCTTTTGGTAAGCTGCTGAAAAAGCCATTTTTGGAAGAACATTGGGATATTATATTTCTAAAGAAATAATTGTTGAAACTAAGCAACCAGCATCATAGTAGCACCTTCTTTCAGCAGGGTGGCACACCTTGCCACTCTGTTAACATTTAAAGTTGCACAAGGACTTTAGAAACACCCTGTATTCTGCCATCAGGATGGCAAAATATAAATCCTGGACTGTTGTAGCAAAGTTCCTTGTGGCTTGACTCTGGGCAGCTTGGCATGTCTTCATTCCAGAGCCTGGCAGCTTCTATATCTTCTCCTCTGAAAATCCAAGAGGAGTAGATACAGGCAGTGGAGATGGATGGGGAATACCTATCTGTGAGCAAAGCATGGTCTTCTGGGTCCATCACAGAGTGGCACCAAACATTTTGGGATTTCTGAATATCCTGAAGGTGCAGAGACAAAAATCAGAAAAAGTTTATTGACCTCAAAACATGCTGTGATGCACCCAGATGCCATTGTGGGAAGCAGGACACTGGACTAAATGGACAGGGCAGTTAAAATATCTCTCCTTAGAATGGCAGTAGAATCATAGAATCATAGAATCATAGAATCATAGAGTTGGAAGAGACCACAAGGGCCATCGAGTCCAACCCCCTGCCAAGCAGGAAACGAGTACTAAGAACCAATATACCTGTTAATATCAAGTCACAGGGGGCCATCAAATGTAACTCTATTGTTAAATCTGATGTAATATGAATGCATTGTTTTATGTTGGGATTTCATGTCTTAACTTTCTTCAGATAATGTCTTGCAAAAACAACAACAACATCTCAATGATGCTTTATTTCATTTATTTTTAAGACAACTTCACAGGGCCATTTCTCCTCAAATTACTGCGTCAGTTTCACAGTTCTTTGGTTGAATCACTGCTTCTTCCTAGCCCTACATTGTGGTTACTCACTATGACTTTGGTAATATAGTACAAACTCATGATCAGCCATGGAACAAGGGGAGGGGGTTTTCATACTCCGTTCCTTACTGTTCCAGTGGGTGTGGAGGGGGTCAGGGTGGGAGAAGAAGCCTCAGAAGATGGTTCCAGATACAACCTTGATCAGGAACAATCCAGATTTAGGGAAGCTAGACATTTGCCCATTTCATTGCAGAGCTTTTAACCTTTTATTCCCATTGTGTTTCCTTTTCTCATTCACTCAAGCTGCATAACTATATAGGGAGCATCTTGTTCAACAACAGCGTCGGTGAGAGTGTAGCTTTTGATGAAAATGGAGAACTGATTGCAGATTTTGATGTTACAAACTGGGTCACGTTCCCCAACGGCTCATTCGTTAGAGTAAAAGTTGGAAGATTGGCTCCTCGGGATCCTTCAGGCAAAGAGTTAACAATTAATGATGAGCAAATTGAGTGGCATAGAAGTTTTAACCAGGTGAGATGAAGCTGCAGATGCTGGAATGTATGAAATAACCGGAAATCGTTCCATTTTTAGCATCTAGGTTTCTTATTGCCTTCAGGTGCTGAATTATTCTGAGTAGCATTGCATTTTTAAACTTCAGTTTCTTTCCTTCTTGGTAAACCAGTGCTGTTTTTCTAGAAAAAGTGGCACTGGAACGCACCTTGAACACCATCCCTGTTCTCTTTGAAGGGCAATGGGGCCCACCTGAGCAGTGCCAGAACCGAGTTCTGGTGAGTTCTGGCTGATAAAAAGACCAGAATATAACCCAGCCTCATGCAACATAGATCACATTCCCAGAACAAGTCTCAGTAAACCATGCAACAAATTCATCTAAGCAGTCCTGACCTCTCCCAAAATCGAGTATTTTCTTTTATGGCCAATAGCAATGCTTAGGAGACCACTCCTGAACTGAGGCTGCTCAAAATACCTGCTATTTCATGAACTGATTATTGAAAACAAAGCAAAAAGCAAAAACAAATTCTGCTTTCTTTCTGAATAAACTTTAATAAAAAAGTTAAAAATTTTGGTCATGAAGATAAAAATAAAAAATGCTTCTCAGCTCTTAGTGGGGGCAAATTTGCCCCCCCCAAACACACCCCATTCTTGTGAGAAGACACCAGCTGGTCTCTCCCCAGAGGTTGTGTGTGTGTCTGGGGATTTTGGTGGGCAGCTCTGTCCTCTCGATCTTCTCCTGAGCATTTCCAGTGCCCATCCAACCTCTCTCTCCAGGGTGGGTTTTTCTTACAGGTCTCCTTTTATGGGGGCAGAGTGGGAATTGTCAAGAGATGCTGCCATTGGCCATTGGGATCCCTCCCTTTTGCCTGCTCTACACTATAAGTTTCTTTGGTTGTACAGTAGTACCTTGGGTTAAGTACTTAATTTGTTCCGGAGGTCTGTTCTTAACCTGAAAATGTTCTTAACCTGAGGTACCACTTTAACTAATGGGGCCTCCCACTGCTGTGCAATTTCTGTTCTCATCCTGAAGCAAAGTTCTTAACCCGAGGTACTATTTCTGGGTTAGCGGAGTCTGTAACCTGAAGCATATGTAACCTGAAGCGTCTGTTACCCAAGGTACCACTGTATTTACTTTTTTGTTTTGAAATTCAGGTAGGGAATTTAAGTGCTTAATCGATAGGCACCCTGAGGCAATATTTGTCTAGGGCTACTCTAGAGTCACCTTTTGCAACCTTTGGGGGTCCCTTGGGGCAACTCCCAAGTCCTGGATTGTGAATGCTGAATAGTGGGGGCTGTGTGTGTATGTTGGGTTCACAGATGTAAGACTCACTTAGCAAGAAGGGAGATGGTTCTTGTGTGGCAGAATGTGTCTGCTACATGCCTAGGGCTGGAAGGTGCTTCACTCCTAGATGTTACTTCAAAACGCCTGCCTATACTTAAATAACTTGCTTATCGGATTGCCAGCCCTTATATCTAATATAGACATTTTCACCATGATTGAGTCTCTTGAGTCTTCTTCCAGGTGTGCTGGCAAATGATGTTGATCTCAGTTTTATGTTTTTGGACAGGTGGTGCCCCTTTCTGTGTGCAATGACTACTGCTATCCTGGCTACAGCAGGAGAAAAAAGGAAGGGGAGAAATTTTGTTGCTATGATTGTGCTCCATGTCCTGAAGGGTTGATCTCTCACCAGATGGGTAAGAGAATAATGTATAGTAACTGGGGAAATGGGAAGAAAAAAAATAATCTAGCCTTTTTGAGTATCTGCTTTTAAAACACTTTGGTGTGCAGAATGAGAAAACAAAGCTTTTTATGCAGCATGGGGAGTTAGATGTCTTTAGTTGCCAGTTTCTGCAAACTGTTGTTGGTGACACAGCTAAACAGAATGATGGACTGCCTCTGAGATGTTCCTTTTCTACAATGGGGAATTCTTAATTCTCCCAAGCACTTCAATGGATAGGACTATGAAATCAGAATTGTAACTGCTAATCTGTATGGGTAAACATTACAAAAATTCCTTAGAGTAATGGACTGCGAAGGAGGGGTGACCATGCCATCTTCATGGATCAGGCCAAAGTCGTATGAGACAAATGCATATTTTAGTTTCATCCACAACCTTTGGAATCAGAACATCAGGAACCATGGCAGCTATTATGATATACAGAAGGGAAACTCTTCAAATTCTTCATAGATTCATTAGGTAGTTCTATTTATATATTTCGACTTTAGCCATTTGGAGGAGCAAACAGGCTCTTTGCTGTTTTCCTTTGATTTATTATTATTTTAATTATTTATTATTTATATCCCGCCTCTTTCCCAGATCAGTACTCAAGGCAGTTTACACAAATGAAAATAAGACAGATAAAATGCAAAGAGCTAAAAACATAATTCAAAAAATCATTGCAAATAATTGAACTGTAATTCTATTAAAATACAGATAATAAGAACAAAACAGCACAGCATTATTAAAAGCAATTTGTTAAAAAAAAAACAACACCCTGTCATTTCCCAAAGGCTTGTAAGAATAGAAAAGTTTTCTCACACACACACACGGCAGAGGGACTAGGAGGGAGCCATTCTAACTTCTCTAGGAATGAACCTTCAAAGTCTGGGAGCAACTATTAATATAAATTTTGCAGGACCATCCCCTGCTGGGGAAGAAGTAGCTTTCGAATAGGAACAACAACAAAACTTCCTCTCTTTTTTGCGATTGTGTTACTGCTTCTATTTCGGCTTATGAGAATTTTATTCTTCCCACATCAGATGGGGAGAATCTTAGGCAATGTCTTGTGAAATCTGGTCTGGAACATTCATGGATGTATTCAGATCTGAATACATTAGTCTCAGTCCAACATGTGACCATTTTACGGTGTTCAAATTCAGTTGTCTTGAAATGTTTTAATAGCGCTTTCTTCTTTTCAGACATGGCTGCTTGTGTCAAATGTCTGGAAGAGGAGTACCCAAATAAAGACCAAAATCAGTGCATTCCCAAGGTGTCCAGCTACCTCTCCTACAAAGAACCTCTAGGAATCACTCTGGCCATCTTGGTTGTTTCTTTCTCTTTGATTACAACCTCAGTACTTGGGATTTTCATGAAGCACAGGGACACTCCCATAGTCAAAGCCAACAACCGGACCCTCACTTACCTCCTCCTCATTTCCCTCCTGCTTTGCTTCCTCTGCTCCTTCCTCTTCATTGGGCAGCCTGGAAAGGCAACCTGCCTTCTCCGACAAACGGCTTTTGGCATGATCTTCTCTCTGTCCCTTTCCTCTGTTTTGGCAAAAACCATCACGGTGATTCTGGCATTCATGGCCACAAAACCAGGATCCAGAATGAGACAGTGGCTGGGGAAAGGACTGGCCAATTCCATTGTCCTTTCTGGTTTATTTATTCAAGCAAACATTTGCATAATTTGGCTGATTACTTCTCCTCCGTTCCCAGATGAGGACATGAACTCCCTGAAAGAGGAAATCATCGTGCAATGTAATGAGGGATCAGCTTCCATGTTTTACTGTGTCTTGGGATACATGGGCTTCCTGGGCATTGCCAGTTTCACAGTGGCTTACTTTGCCAGGAAGTTGCCTGACAGTTTCAATGAAGCCAAGTTCATCACTTTCAGCATGCTGGTGTTTTGCAGTGTTTGGTTGTCCTTTATTCCAACGTACCTGAGCACCAAAGGGAAATACATGGTGGCTGTGGAGATCTTCTCCATCTTATGCTCCAGTGCTGGATTGCTGGGTTGCATTTTTTCCCCCAAATGCTACATCATTATCTTAAGACCTGAGCTGAACAACAAGGAACATTTGACAAGGAGAGAAAAGTAAAGAATTTAAGCTTATAAATTTTTGCTGCTTCATGTGAAGCTTGTGGTCCACCAAGACCCCTGGATCCTTTTCACATCTACTGCTAGTAAGCCAGGTGTTCCCCATCCTATATTTGTGCATCTGATTCTTCCTGCCTAAATGCAGAACCTGGCATTTGTCAATATTGAAATTCATCTTGTTAGCTTGTGCTGAGTTCTCCAATCTCTTCAGGTTATTTTGAATTCTGATTCTGTCCTCTGCGGCATTAGCTACCCCTCCCAGCTTGGTGTCATCTGCAAATTTGATGAGCCTCCCTTCAATTCCTTCATCCAAGTCATTCATAAAGGCGTTGAACAACAACAGGCCCAGGACAGAAACCTGTGGCAACCCACTTATCACGTTTTTTCTAGGATGATGAGGAACCATTAATGAGTTGGGTTTGCGTTCCGTCAGTCAACCAGCTACAAATCCACCTAACAGTTACCTCATTCAACCCACATTTTACCAGCTTCCTCACGAGAATATCATGGGGGACTTCGTCAAGAACCTTACTGAAATCAAGATGCACTATGTCCACAGCATTTCCCTGATTCACCAAGTTTCTAATTCCTTCAAATAAAGAAATGAGATTGGTCTGGCATGACTTATTTTTGAGAAATCCATGCTGGGTCTTAGTAATCACAGCATCCTTTTCTAAATGCTCACAGACCGACTGTTGAATTCTTTGTACTAGGACCTTCCCTGTTATCGATGTCAAGCTCACTGGTCGGTAGTTACCTGGGTCTTACTTCCCCCCCCCTTTTTTCATATGTTTTCATGTATGAAATAAAGCTTTATCCCTTTAACATACAGTGTATAATCTTCCTCAAAGGGATACTAACTGTGCAAGTGAAAACTATTTCCAGTTGTGGTGCTCCCTTGCTGAACTGAGATAGCAATGGGCTTTGATGATTTCCATATTTAGTTTGATTTAGCTCAAGTGAAAAGAGAAAGGAGAGTCTCTTCCCCATCAAAAACTGGCTCTCTGTGCCTGAGCCTCTCATCCCTGACACTTGCCTCTCTTCATTCCATTTAATCTACATTAAAATAGTTGGGGTTTCCTCAACAAGGTTCTCAATGGATGCCCCTATGCCCACACATGCAACCACACCCACAGCCTTCGCTCAGGTCAACAGTCTGAGCATTAACCACTGAAGCATGTAACATGTAAATACAATACAATAAAATAGTGTGTCATGGGAGGGGATGAGGAGAAGGGCATTATGGGTTTGCTTTTGTTCTTGGTTTTATTGTGTGTTCTGTGTTTCTTATATTGCATTTTTATGTTGTGAACTGCCCTGAGAGCTACGAATGAAAGGTGGCATGCAAATTTTAATGATGATGGTGATCATGATAATTACTTACCGTATTTTTCGCCCCATAGGGTGCACTTTTTCCCCTCCAAAAATGAAGGGGAAATGTGTGTGCATCCTATGGGGCAAATGCAGGCTTTCGCTGAAGCCTGGAGAGTGAGAGGGGTTGGTGCGCACCGATGCCTCTAGCTCTCCAGGCTTCAGGAAGCTATCTGCAAGCCTTGCAAGCCCGGCGGAAGTTCCCGCAGGCTCACAAGGCTTGCGGGCAGCAGCCTACAGCCCGAAGCACGGGGCGCCCTCCGGAGGGCGCCCCCTGCTTCGGGCGGGTATCCGCAAGCCGGGCACGCGAGGCTTGGGGCAGCAGCCTGCACCCCGAAGCACGGGGCGCCCTCCAGAGGGCTCCCCGTGCTTCGGGCGGGTGTCCGCAAGGCTTGGGGCTGCAGCCACGGCTGGGGGGGAATAAATTTTTTGTATTCATTTCCCCCCAAAAAAACGAGGTGCGTCCTATGGGCCGGTGCGCCCTATAGGACGAAAAATACGGTACATACCAAAGGCTTGGCCAAATAAATAAATCACAGCAAGCTTAAGAGAAACCAATCTCTCACACCCCCTGCCACCGATATAAACTATATTTATAAAAATTGCCAACATACCCAAGAAGACTCGAGACAAGAAAGATGGGTTCCAGGTTACATTGATTAAAATAAAACAACTGTAGAATGTGCAATCAGAATCAGTCAACCAAATTAACCGAAGCCAAAGAGGATCCCAACTCTCCCATCTCCTGCGCCAGCTGTGATCCTGCAGCAAGGCCTGAGGAAACACCCCCCCCACTGTGTGCTCCTGGGGTGGATGAACCTGACATGTGCACCATGGCCCCATTGGGGAACATTCACCCCGATGTCCCTGACAGGCCCAAATACCAATCTGGGCAGCCTGATGTTAGATATTTCCCAAAATATCCCAAACTCACCCACCTGGACCAAACGCCACAGGAGGCAATCAGCTTCTGCTTGTTCTCCTCCACCCACAAAGATGCAAAAGCTCAAAAAGAGCTCTTTGCAGAGCCTCCAGAAAAATAATGTTATCCTCTACAGACAGGTGAACAACATAATATAACCCCAAACTTAATGCAGCTTTGGGGAATGTATGCACTCCCATCTCCTGGAACACAAGTTTTAATCCTATGTATGATCTTCCTTCCCTCAGCCTTATTAGGGCGATGGGGCCCCTGTCAGACCCACTTTTCCAAAAGCTCTGACCAAAACAGCATCATTTGATGCTTTCACTTGCTGGAAGCCACCCAGAGCGGCTGGAGAAACCCAGTCAGATGGGTGACATATAAATAATAATAATAATCACTACTACTACTTCAGGGACAGGGAACTACAACTGTGTCCCAAACTCAGACATGGAAGCTTGCTTGTGGGCCCAAAACAAAACTGAATGGCCAAAGAATAGGATAATGGCAAGGTTCAGCAGCCCCAGCAGATCAGCTGAAGTGAAGAAAACCGTTAACAGCCATAGATCATAGAAGCAAGCATAACTCTTGAAGGCTGCTGACTGCCAAAGGCAATGGCTTGAATACCTTGGCCAGAAAACCTGGCCTGAGCCGCAACTGTTGCTGCCCCAGTTCAGAATGAGTGCCTGCTGTAAGATCTCGGGTTGCTGTCCACGGCCAACCAGGCCCTCCTAAGTACAGACAAGACAATGCTGTGTAAGTGGGGACCAATCCACGTGAACTAAGAAGGGGCCATTGCCCACGGGCTGAGTCAGCGTATCCCTTAATGGTCACTACAAATACAGGGGTGTAGGCAACTGGCCAACTCAACAGTAGCTCCCAAGCCCCTTTGGTCGGCCTTAGTCTGCCTCCAATGCAATTGCACCCCTGTGGAGTGATCACCACATCTCCAAAAAGCTCTGCCAGAGACCTCTTGCGGTTTGGCATCAATTCACTGGAGTGAAAGGCTCCATAAAATGCCAGTAAGGCTGCCATAGAAAACAACAAACTCTCATAACTAGATGAAGAGAAGTTAAAAATGATAATAAATGAAATAATAATAAATGTGTCTTCGGCTATGTCTGAAGCAAGAGGAAGAACAAGCAAGTGGGAGCCTCTCTGGGTGGAGAAGATGAAGAAATTCTACTGGGTGACAGAGAAGAGACAGAAGTGCTTGACATTTCCTTTGTCTCTGTCTTCACCCAAAAGGAAAGCAGTGCCCAACCTCATGATAACATAATTTAATGTATTTTTAATCTTTGTTGGAAGCCACCCAGAGTGGCTGGGGAAACCCAGCCAGATGGGCAGGGCACAAATAATAAATTATTATTATTGAGCAGTACGGGGATTATTATTATTATTATTATTATTATTATTATTACTATTATTACTATTATTACTACTACTACTACTATTCTTATTAATGATGTAAGGAGGCAGCTGTAGGCCAAGACAGGAGAAGAGGTGGTCAGGGAACAACTAGCTACTTCAAATGAATGTAAATCTCCAGGACCTGATGAGCTGCACAGAAGGGTGCTAAAGGAGCTTACAGATGTAATTTCAGAGCCTTTATCTATGATCTTTGGGAATTCTTAGAGAACAGGTGAGGTTTCTGCGGACTGGAGGTGAGCAAATGTTCAAAGATTGAAGAGAGAAGACTCAAATAACTACTGACTAGTCAGTTTGATGTTGATACCAGGAAAGACTCTAGAACAGGTAATTGAACAGCTGATCTGAGAGCACTTAGAAAAGGATACCTTGATAACATGGGAAACTCCAATTCCCAGCATCCGTAGTATAGCATAGGGTTGCCATATTTCAAAAAATAAAAACCAGGACACACAAAAAATTGAGCTTTTTTTTTTAAGGAAATCTGCAAAATTGTTGAGCTTTTCAACTGACTTCTCCAAGATCCAGGACAAAGTGCTATTTTTTGGAAATTCCCCCCAGACGTCAATTCCACTTTTGAAATCCCAGTAATGTCCGGGGAAATCCGGACGCATGACATTCCTAATGTAACATCATTTCCTCTGGACTATTGCATGGCAAATGAGGAACAGGACTGAGTTCCTCTCTGCAATTCTGCCATCTCTCTTTAAAAGTATTCCTCAAACTACCGTTAACATATTTTTCCAACACAACACCTAAAATTGCTGAATATATTTTCATAGGGGACATAATGTTTCCCAAAATAGTAAGAATGTTAATCTAATCTGAACCCCAGCAATTTACGGCTTTGAAGGCGGTTAGAAGCCAGTGAAACTGAAGCAAAAATCAGGCCACAGAATCTAATCTCTGGCCCCACAATATTCTAGCAGTTGCATTTTCTTCCACATACTCTTCAGTGGCAGCCCCACATGGAGTGTGCTGCAGTGGCCCATTCTTCATGCAACTAAGGCAGATCTTGCCATATTTGTTATGTGAAATAAAAATGATTTTGTCAGATCTGGCCGATGGCCAGAAGTAGCCTAAAGCAGGAGCAGGCGTTGGGGAAATATCCTGGCTGTTTCATCATGTTGTGGCAAAGCCAGATAGACCAACAATGCATTGGGGAGATGATTTTCTCTCAACAACTGTAAACATTGCTGGAATAACAGCTTCTAAAAGGTGTTATAAAACCACACAGGTTGTTCAAAACCAGGTTAGAAAACCATTTCAGCTTTGATCATTTCAACTTTGTATTGTATTTTATTTTCTGTCAGCCTTTTAATATTTTAGGGTGTTTCACCATTTCATTCTTCCATGATTTAAAACGAAAGAATTCTAAACTGAGAAATTCAGTTCTTTCCTCATTTCTTCCATCTCCAGTTCCTTGTTTCTGGCTATTAAAAGCTTCATCTCAAAAAGGAGGTATTGACTGATACTTGCCTGACCCTATAAATGCATCCTTATCCTGTGCTCGTGTTTTCCAATTATTTCCATCATCCTGCCGCTTCCATTTGGGGTGGGAGGGGGATGTGTGAGGAGGAAACATTTCTGCCAGTTTGAAATGGACACACACATTTGGGAATCTCACAGGCCAAGCTTCGAAATGATGTACCATCAGGTTCATCTGCCATTCACAAAAGACTGAAACAAAACTGAGACTGTATCCAATGGAAACATGGCAAGATCCAACTTGAGGGGCTGTTTGGTCATCAGGATCCTAGTCGCAATAGTGCTGCTGTTTGTAATGTTTCCCTACACTGTCTGCAAGAATCAGCCCATCAGTTGCATCCTAGATGATGATCCTCTGCCTATACCTCACAAATTTTATCAGCCGGGTGACTTTGTCATTGGAGAGATGGTTTCTCAGGTCTTCCTCTTTCATGACAGTCCCTCATTCACAGACGTGCCCACACAGATGTCAATTGGCGAACCTGCGTAAGGAACACTTCATTCCCCCCTTTCTGCTGTTAAAAGGATTAAAAGGATATCCTATCATTATGTGACAGGATACTTCAGTAATAAGATTTGTGTTTCAGTATGATGAAAATATTATTCCAGCAGTCACTGGAAGTTGCCAGCTATTTTGTGTTCTTTATGTTGGTGGCTGTTGGGCACAAAACTTGGACTTTGTGGGGCTTTTACAGAACAATGTCCCAGGGATTGTTCCCTTACTGAGTCTTGGACATGTCATTCCCAGGCATTCAGTACTTCATTGTCTCTCACCTTCTGCTTATTCTCTCTCTTCTGTTCACATCTGTTTGCATATTTTAAAAATATTGTTTTCTTCATATTATTATATTGTACAATACGAAAGGTTTTATTATTGTGCTTTATTCTTACTGTTTTCATCCCAGTAAAATTTCCTGATTGAGTGCATGTCTCTTCACACAAAACATAGGTGGAGACACTGATCTGATGTGGACAGCACACTTTGCAAGGAAGACTAATCTGTGGGGCCAATCAGACAACATCCCATAGTATGCTGGGCTAGATCCTGGCACCATGATGCAGGCTAGCCACCCCTGATCTAGATCTATTAGGTTTTTTACTCAGTCTTTTCATACAGCGGAATAAATGTTTTAAGAAATCTATTCTAAATATTTCATCTAAAAGGACCTGCTAATGGATTATATCTTCCAATAACTGTATATCCCAGCATTTTCAGACTTTTTAAAGTTCCAGCTCAACCACGAGAGTAGCCAGAGGTGTAACGATGAAAGCAAGAAATGCCCTTTCCTTTGCCTCATGAAACAGACTGTAAATCTCATTCCAGGTCCGTTCCTAAGAACTACCAGCACATCCTGGCTTTGCTGCTTGCTGTCAAAGAGATCAATGAGAACCCCCAAATCCTACCCAACATCTCTTTGGGCTTCCACATCCTCAATGGCTACTATGTGGCAAGGATGACATACAAAGCCAGCCTGAGCCTCCTTTCCACACAACACAGGTTTGTTCCCAACTACAAGTGTGATACTCAGAGTAAACTGATAGCTGTCATTGGCGGACTTGCTACTGAAACCTCTGCCAACATGGCTAGCATTTTTGCCACTTACAAGATCCCACAGGTGAGACATATTCATTGATTTATGGGCATTTTATAACAATGGCTCATATCTTTACATTCTTTTAATCCATACAACACACCCTCCTTCCTTTCAGCTCACATATGGATCATTTACCCCAGTGCAGGATGACAAAACATTGTTTTCTTCCTTATATCAGATGGTCCCAAAGGAAGCCCACCAGTACATTGGGGTAGTCAGGCTCCTTCACCATTTCAGATGGACATGGATTGGGCTCTTTGCTGTGGATGATGACAATGGGGACAGGTTTTTGCAGACAGTGCTTCCATTGCTTGATCAGAATGGCATCTGCTATGCCTTCATACTAAGAACAGCAAAGAGGACATTTATGGAAGAGCTGATAAACATGGTATTAGCACAACTGGGAAAATACCCACTTCTTCAAGATAGAAAACTCAGTGCATGTTTTGTATATGGAGAGGATCCAGCCATGCCAGTTTTGAGAATGTTGTTGTTTTTCGCAACATTTTATGAATTGCCACCAGTGGGAAAAGTTTGGATTGTTACATCCCAATGGGATTTCTGTGCCTTCTCCATTCAAAAGCTTTGGGATATAGAAACCTTCCATGGTGCCCTATCCATCACGGTTCGCTCAAGGGAGCCACTTGGATTCCAAAGTCTTCTTGAGATCATTGAACCTTCTTGGGCAAAAGGAGATGGCTTCATTCAGAATTTCTGGGAGCAGTCATTCAGCTGCTCATTAAAAAAATCTGGTGGGAATGTGGAGGGAAAGAAAGCCTGCACTGGCCGGGAGAAGTTGGAGAGTCTTCCTAGTACCCTTTTTGAAATGGGCATGACTGGCCACAGCTACAATGTCTACAATGCTGCTTATGCTCTGGCACATGCTTTGCATGTCCTACGTGAATCCAGATGGAAACATAGCAGACTGCTAGAGGGAGTGAGACCAACAGACTGTAATGTGCAGTCTTGGCAGGTAGTTACACCTTTAATACAACACACAGAGAGAGAAATATATTCAAAGCAGGAAGGTATGCCCTAAAAGATGCTTAAATATGTCTTTTCCCCCACAGTTCCTCTTTAGAACAACTTTGACTTGTAACCTGAAACTTACTTTGCTTATTCTCCTTTCCTATCCACTTTCATGATGTTCCATATCTTTTTTAAATTGGAAGTCTGAAGGCCATGATTTTCTGCTCTGGGTCCATTTTGTTTTGTCCGAGTATCACATTTAAAAAATAACAGATAAATAATATAACAAACTCATCAACAGCTGTATCAAATCCATGGCTCCCTTAACCAACTGCCTTCTTTCTGTGGCTCCCCTGTGGGGCTCTGAAGCCCACTTGGGTCACCCCTTATCCTCTCTTTACTTTAATGCTTGTTGTAATAAATGGACTTAAAATCAGAAAACATATAAAATGCAATGGTACAAAGGTTACATTTGAAAGCCATGATGCAGAAGGGAAGGAGGTTGAAAGGCTCAAAAGAGTCGGGAAAGTACAATTGATTGTATATTACAAAATGGAAAACCAATAAAAAATTATTATAAAATAAATGAATAAAAAGTATTCCATTTAATCAGACATAACTAAAAAAAGAGGTATAATAATGTATGTAAATCCAAAATTAGAGTCAAAGCTCTTATTTGAAGATGATGAAGGCAGAATAATTGTGATAAAAGTAACATCCAAAAAAGAAAAAAATTGTAATCATAGGAATCTATGCACCGAATGAAAGGAAAGCTGAATTTTACAATAAATTAGAGGAGGAAAAGTCAGATTATATTGTATGGGACACTAGCAAAGCAGTCATGCAAGGTTTCATTATCCAACAAAATGCATTTCAAAGAAGAGAGAAAGAAAGAAAAATGGAATTAATTAGGAAAGAAATATGCATGAATGAAAAAAAGTTAGCCAAAAAATCAAAAATTGAAATACCGAAACAAAATATAAGAATACTTCAAACCCAACTTTCCATGATTTAAATTATGAAATTGAATAAAAGAGAAAGACATTCAAACAAAAGAGCTTTGAATTTCCTAACAAGCCAGGAAGAATGCTAGCGTTGGTAACTAAAGAAAAACATAAGGAAAAGATGATAGAAAAAGTAATAGAGGGAGGAAAAGTCACACACGATCCAAAGGAAATAAGTCAAAAATGTACAAACTATTACAAGGATTTATATAAGAAAGAAATTGGGAACCAGAAGGAATTTGAAAATTATATTATGCAACAACAGACTCCCAAAGATCGCAAAGGAAATTTTTGAAGAACTAAACTTTCCCTATAACAGTGAATGGAAGTACAGCAATCAATTTCCAAAGGCAAAACTAGGAAAGTCACGGGTCCAGATGGTTTGAGTGCAGGTTTACTATAAGAAACTAGAAGAGGTACTTTCAAACACATTGAAAACAACAATGAGATATTGGAAATAAAGGAAAATTCCAGAAAATGGCAAGAAGCCTATATTACCCTGATCCCAGACAAGGAACAGACCCGACATCAATAAAAAATTACAGACCTATATCATTATTAAATAATGATTATAAGTTATTTGCAGATATAATGGCTAACAGATTAGAAAGAGTTCTCAATTGACACAATAGGCAAAGATCAGACAGGCTTCCTGAATTAGGAAGACATGTGTAGGCAACGTAAGAAACATAATTGACATCTTAGAATATTTGGACACAAGAACAGATAAGAGGGCAGTTTTGATTGTGTGTGGATGCAGAAAAAGCCTTCGACAACATCTCGTGGAGTTATATGAAAATCTATATAGAAATTATGGGATTTGGAAAGCTATTCAGTTGGGGTATAGAGACAATATACCAGAATCGAGTGTGAGATTCAGTATAAATAATGGAATAACTGAAGGCTTTAGAAGAAGTAAAGGGACAAGGCAAGCTGCCCTCTGTCACCACTCTTGTTTATTATGGTGTTAGAAACACTAGCAATCACAATAGGAAAGATCAAGAAATAAAAGAAAAGTAGTGGGATGTAAATCTTTTAAAATAAAGGCATTTGCCGATGATCTTATTATAACAACAGAGAAACTGGCAGAGAGCCTAAAAAACCTCTGGAAATAATATATGAATTTGTGAAAGTGGCAGGATTTAAATTAAATATAATAAAATGAAGCTGGCTGAAAACATGCAAATCCAAGAGAAGAACTTCAAAAAAATTCAGGATTAACAACAGTAAATAAGAATAAATATTTAGGAATTTGGATTACAAACAAAAATGCCAATTTATTTAATGACAACTACTCTAAAACCTTACCATAATAAAAGACAAAAGTGGAAAGGACCTAACAGAAGCAGAAGACATCAAGAGAGGTGGCAAGAATACACAGAGGACCATACCAGAAAGAAATGGATGTCTTGTATACCCCAGGTAGTGTGGTTGCTGACTTGAGCCAGACAATCCTGGAGAGTGAAGTCAAATGGGCCTTAGAAAGCATTGCTAATAAACAAGGCCAGTGGAAGTGATGATATTCCAGCTGGACTATTTAAATTTTAAAAGATAATGCTGTTGAGGTGCTACACTCAATTATGCCAGCAAATTTGGGAAAACTCAGCAGTGGCCAGAGGATTGGAGAAGATCAGTCTACATCCCAATCCCAAAGAAGGGAAGTGCCAAAGAATGCTCCACTTACCGCACAATTGCACTTCATTTCACACGCAAGCAAGTTATGCTTAAATTCTACAGGCAGGCTTAAGCAGTATGTGGACCGAGAACTCCAGAAGTGGCAAAGCTGGATTTTCGAAGGGCATAGGAACCAGAGACCAAATTGCAAACATGTGCTGGTTTATGGAGAAAGCTAGAGAGTTCCAGAAAGACATCTACTTCTGCTTCATTGACTATGCAAAAGCCTTTGACTGTGTCGACCACAGCAAACTATGGCAAGTTCTTAAAGAAATGGGAGTGCCTGATCACCTCATCTGTCTCTTGAGAAATCTCTGTGTGGGGACAAGAAGTATAGTTAGAACTGGATATGGAACAACTGATTTGGTTCAAAATTGGGAAAGGAGTACGACAAGGCTGTATATTGTCCCCCTGCCTATTTTAACTTATATGCAGAATTCATCATGCGAAAGGCTGGGCTGGATGAATCCCAAGCTGGAATTAAGATCGCCGAGAGAAATACCAACAACCTCAGATATGCAGATGACACAACCTTGATGGCAGAAAGTGAGGAGGAATTAAAGAACCTTTTAATGAGGGTGAAAGAGGAGAGCGCAAAATATGGTCTGGAGCTCAACATCAAAAAAACTAAGATCATTGGCCACGTGGTCCCATCTACCTCTGGCAAATAGAAGGGGAAGAAATGGGGCAGTGAGAGATTTACTTTCTTGGGCTCCTGATCACTGCCAGATTGTGACAGCAGTCACGAAATTAAAAAGAAGCCTGCTCCTTGGAGAAAGGCGATGGCAAACCTTAGACCGCATCTTAAAAGCAGCAGGACATCACTTTGCCAACAAAGGTCCGTGTAGTTAACAGCCATGGTTCCCGTAGTGAGATGAGTGAGAGTGACCATAGAAGGCGATCGCCGAAGAATTGATGCTTTGAATTTGCTGCTGGAGGGCTCTTGAGAGTCCCAATGGACTGCAAGAAGATCAAAACCTCATCCATTCTGAAGGAAATCAGCCTGAGTGCTTCGGAAGGACAGATCCCTGAAGCTGAGGCTCCAATACTTTGGCACCTCATGAGAAGAGAAGACTCCCTGGAAAAGACCCCTGATTTGGGAAAGATGGAGGGCACAAGGAGAAGGAGACAAAAGAGGACAAGATGGTTGGACAGTGTTCCGAGCTACAAGCATGAGGTTACTGACCAACTGGGGAAGGTAGTAGTGGGAAATAGGAGTGCCTGGTGTGCTCTGGTCCAGGGGTCAGGAAGAGAGCGGACACGAACTAAACGACTAAACAACAACAACTCTAAAACCTGGAAGGAAATTTTAAAAAGATCTGGAAATATGGATCAGACTAAATTTGTCACTCTGGGGAAGTATATCCATGGTAAAGAATAAATGTTCTTTCCAAAGGATGATATTTTTGCTTCAAATGATACTGGTGGGTAGGATGAACAGAATGCTCTAAGAGGTGGCAGAAAGATTTATTGAGATTTATCTTGCAATGCAAAAAACCCAGGATAAAACACAAATATATTAAGTATATAGTAAGGAAAGAGTGGGATTTGCATTTCCAGACCTGAAGCTTAATAATAATAATAATAATAATAATAATAATAATAATAATAATTTTTCATTTATACCCCGCCCTTCCCTGCCAAGGCTGGGCTCAGAGCAGCTTACAAACAGTAATAAAAACAAGATGAATGATTACAACTTAAAAACAAAAATAAAATTAAGACATATTTAAATATCTAA